ATGACTGATTTGAAATGCCATTTTCTTAATGTCTTTCATTTTTTGTAAAGCACTTTGAATTGCCTTGTGTTGAAAAGTGCTATATAAATAAACTTGCCTTGCCTTGCCTTGCCTTGCCTTGGTATAAAATAAAATAAATAAAAATCTATTGAATTTTTTTTGATAAAATATTTTTATATATTTATAATTCTGCAAATATTACGATAAACTCACAGCTATTTCGCGGCCCGGCAGTAACACCTCGGGTCCGCAGACCGGGGGTTGGGGAACCCTGATCTACGGGACAGTTTTGAGATTTCTTCAAATGACGTTGCCATGGCAACACAATGCTCGCCTTGAAACACGGTTTCTCATAAGTTCAGTGAAAATACTCCAAACAGCCCAGAACTTCACAGGTTTGGTAACGATGCAGCCATCAACGCGTCTAAGCGTAGTATGGGGTGTCATCAAATGCCGTTGCCATGGCGACAGACCACTCGCCATGAAACACGATGTGGCTGTAAGTCCAGTCGACACGGTCCAATCGTCCCCCAATCTTCACTTGTATATCACCGGTCCATGCCTCAACAGCTCTACGCCAAATCTGAGATCTCACCATATGCCATTTCCATGGAAACGCATCCCTCACCATAAAACGTGATGTCGCTATAACAACTATGAAACGTTTAAAAAGTGCTCAAACTTCACATTTGTGCCAACAGTCCGGCCGTGAAGACATCTACAGGACAGTTTTGAGATTTCTTCAAATGCCGTTGCCATGGCAACACAATGCTCGCCATGAAACACGGTTTTCTCATAACTTCAGTGAAAATGCTCCAAACGCCCCAAAACTTTTTTCTTCTCTTATTACACATTCAAGCCCCCAGTGTTCATGTATCATTTCAATCTAAATTCTTCACTTTCTTCTTACACATTTCATTGTAATCTAAATTCTTCACTTTCTTCTTACACATTACATTTCAGCATAGCAGTTTAGAGTCACATTTTCAGCATAAAGCATTCCCACTAGCAATTTCTTCAGGAATTGCATTCTCTAGTTATTAATGTGCTTCTCTCAATAATGCCTGTGTGTGTGAACGTACAGGTGGAGCTCTAGTAGACATTGGGGAGTCAATGAAGAGGATGGCCGAGGTCAAAGACTCTCTGGATATTGATGTGAAACAGAACTTCCTTGACCCGCTACAGGCAGTCGCTGAGAAGGATATCAAAGACATTCAGGTAGAGTCTAAGATTTGGTATGCTTCCTGTACAGGCCAGGCAGTGAACAATAAGCTCTGCAGTCTGTGTGTCAGCTGCAATAGTAAAACAAATATTTACTGTCCTGGTACATAAGGGTTTAATTAAATGCAATTTGATCATGAAAATACTTAGATCTTCATGTGATACTTCATCCTCCCAATCCCAACTCTTTCCGCCCCTCAGCACCACCTGAAGAAGCTCGAGGGCCGCCGTCTCGACTATGATTATAAAAAGAAACGTCAAGGTAGAATCCCAGATGAGGAGCTCAAGGTGGCTCTGGAGAAGTTCCACGAGTCCAAAGAGATGGCAGAAGGCTCCATGCACAACCTGCTGGAAACAGATGTGAGTAACGCGGAGACTGACCTTTGTTACAATGCAGACGGCACATTAAAAGCTACTCGAGTTGTTTATAAAATGATGCAAACACTACAATGACCTGGTTTATAAAGTAGGCAAAGAAAACCTGACCAGTGTCAGTAATCCATAATAGATTTAGTGTATTTAATATGCCATCTGATTCAATTGCCCCTAAGAATCACTATTATAACTTTATGAAACACAATATCTGAACAATCGTAAAATGTAAACTGTTTGGTATTTAGTCCATTGAGTACCTGCTATAATATACATTCTGGCTCCATGCTTTATTCCTACAGCCTCTCAGCTAGCAAACCAAGTGTTACTTCTTTTAAGAACAGTATGTGTCAGGTGACATGTCTTGTTCTTTTCCACAGTGACTTGCAGAAGTTTCGAGCTTGTCGAACTGGTTTTGCTTAGTGTTTACCATTTTAACACATTCTATGATGAGATTTACAAGAGGGAAGTCATTCTGATAAACAACAGCTGCAATGATAAACAAATAGAATGATGAGAGAATAGAAACGGCTAATGTGTAAGAACTGTTTTTAAGGACCACTGCTGTTTGTGTGTTAGGCCTTGTTCTAAAATAGATTGTGTCTGCTTGTAGGTGGAGCAGGTGAGTCAGCTGTCTTCTTTTGTGGAGTCTCTGCTGCAGTACCACAAACAGGCGGCGCAGGTCCTCGAGGAGCTTTCTGACAAGCTGAGAGAAAGGTCAGTGGTGTCACGTGACTATTTGAACAATACATCATGCCTTATGTATGTCGAGGCCGTGTCCTCTGTCTTGTGACATGTGAAGATTCAGGACCATTTTATTTTTACCAAAAATGAATAAAAGCAGTTAATGTTACTGATTAATTATTATTGACTTTTCCCTTATTACAGAAATGAAAAACAATCTTTACTAAATAATAAATAGAGTAGATTTGTTTTGATTCTGCTAATTTACTATCTGTATTGGTGATGTGTTTTCTTTCTGATTGTGTGCAGGGTGACTGACGCTCAGGCTCGTCCAAGGCGTGAATACGCACCCAAGCCCAGACCAGTGTATGACTATGGAGAGGTGGAGAACTCTAACGGAGCATACACACCAGCTGCATCAACCCCTCCAGCCTACTCTCCAGGTAAACTCACTTTTAAATATGTTGTGAGAGTATGCTTGAGTGTGTGTGTATACAGTATGTGCACAAGGCCTACTCCCAAGAAGGCATGTGTACAAGTCAATCTCATTCTTAAGACTGATGTGTCTTTCCTTCTGCGACATTAACCAGCCCCAGCACAATATCCAGGTCCAGCCTTCCAAAGAACCTCCGTCAAGAGCAGAGCGCGTGAGTGAGAAAAGATAACGTGTCACCTACAGGGAACTCGAAAGCTTCACTACTCTCACTCACACTGGAGCCCATCTCTGTGGCGCAGAGGTGTCTGCATGTCTGCGTCATGTTCAAGGATTGGACTAACATAACTGAATGGTGTTTAATGGATCCAGTCTGTCAGGTCCCAGGACAAAACAGGGGTTGTTGTGTGTGATTATAACTGTCTGTCCAAGGCTGCAGATGCATATAATTGTCAGCAAACAACTTTCAAGTTGTGTTTTAAGTGATCAGTGATTGCAGTAGTTAATCAAAGTTGTCAGTTAAATCTAAAATGTTATCGTTTTTCTACCTGCAGTCACGGTTTTGCTGAATTGTATCTATCTGTATGTATGCCTGTCTAATAACTGATGAAGCTTCTGAACCTCAAGAAAAATCATTACATTCCTCACTATACAGACATAGTCAGGGTTAATCCAACAGTAGAATGCCTCTGGCTTAGACTTGACAAAAGTTATATTTGGAATAAATTAGTTTGGCTGTCATGACATTGATTTCAATCTTAAGGTTCAGAACAATTCTCCTTTACTTCACTGCTGACTAACTCATAACTTGTTTTATTCCACAGTCATACTGGAAAACATACTGGTGACACATGAAATGCTAATCTAATTGAAGGGAAATTAATGAAGTGACCTTATTAGTTGTTCCTCCTTCCTTTAACCCCCACCTTTGTCTCTCTTTCTGTGCAGCTGAACCTTGTTGTAAAGCCCTGTATGACTTTGAGCCAGAGAACGAAGGCGAACTGGGCTTCCGCGAGGGCGACATCATCACCTTGGTCAGTCAAATCGATGAGAACTGGTTCGAGGGAGCCATTCGCGGCAAATCTGGATTCTTCCCCAACAACTACGTGGAAGTGGTGGTGCCTCTGCCACACTGAAAACAGCCAGGCAAGATGAGAACTGCAGAACGGAGAGGGTGAATAGGGGCAGAGGTAGTGATTTCAAACTCGCAAAAAACCAAAAGATATTTTCTCTTTATTATAGTAATCGCATAACCATCTCAAGATAAAGACCTTATATGTACCTAGGAGTTATTGAGTATAGAGCTTTTTTTGTATTCGGTCAGATTATGTCAACATTTAGTTGTAATAGCAAGGAAAGAGGGATTTTTAGTGACAGCATAACTATTGGGTGACTGCCTTTAGAATATCTTAAGTATTTACATTCACTCTCAATGCACCTGTGCACTTTGTACACTACACCTCCATTACCGGGACTGATGAAGAAAGATCGAGACAAGAAAGACATCTGTAATGACGTGCAGCCGTTTCAAACACTAAGACGTGCAACTTTATTCTTTCATTCTTAACCTACTTTATATTTACAAGACTACATTTCTTCTTTTATGTACTGTTTATACTGACATGTATATGCATGCATTCTTCCAAACACTATTAGCTACACTCCCAGTTCTCACTGTGCCTTCAGGCTTAAGTTTTGTAAGTAAGGAGGACTGCTTTTCTTCTGTTGGTGTGTATGACTATCCTTTACTGCCATCTAGTGGACCGAGAGATCATTCTTAGCTACTGACGCTGTCACACAACCTCTATTATCTTTTGCCAGATACAAAACAATCCTTTTTTTAGGGGGCATGTCTGTATAAGGTCGTAAACGTTTCTTGAAAAGATATATAAAACTTGAAAAATAGCTGATATCAGTCAGCCGGTAACATTGACTGACTGCTGTATAGAACATGTTTTCATTCTTGCCCCCTGCTGATCAGAGAAACTGACATTTTTACAAACGCATATATATTCGAGACCAAAATAAGTGGTTATGTAGTTGATTGTAAAGAGCTGGAGGGCGACCATAAATATGCCTAGTTTTATAACACCAACTGTTGCCACGTTATTATTGATTTAATTTATCCAGAGTTCCTCACTGCACTCCACTGTCTCTTACAGCTGATTCCCACGTTGGTTGAGACTGCTGTTTGACATGCAAATAAAATTGAAACAACCTGCGCGCAATGCTGTATAATTTTGGTTAAATGTTCGAGATTATTATTTGCAAACATCGGGTTTTTAATTTATTTGACATTTTGTAAAGACATTTGTTTCCATTCCAGTGAAACTCACAACCATGTAACATGACTCAGCATTACACAAAAGCCATAAGTGCCCTTCAGTTTAATTTTCTCAGACTGTATTGATACTGCTGGCAGTGTCGCTCACAATGTTTTGTGGGCTTTTATCCAACTGTTTGTCGATGTATTTTCAGTCTTTGATTTGTTTTCTCCAAAGTGCTGGGATAAACTTTGCTTTACTACTCTAACCTATCATTTGGAGCATGAAAATTAATCTGATGTGTTGTGTTTCGGGTATTTTTGGACCTGCTTCTGTTGAAACTGTGCACTAGACCTGCCAGAAAATGCTCCATAACTATCTCCGAACTGTTGTGTAAAGAATATAGTAATAATGAGGAAGGCCTATACACAATGACCGGTTTCAGTTTCAATTAAGTCTTTTATAAGCTGACTATAAACTGCTAGGGTTTGTGCTGTTCACTTAAATACCAACTTTCTCCTCTTGTCATGATCCCCTTGTTAGACCGCCCCACTCATCCCTCCCATCTCTGTTTAGACCGGGAGCGGAACAGACAGGTCTTTTCAGCGGGGAAGGGCACACAGCAGTGGATTATGCCCTTCCTCCCCCACTGGCCTTTATTCACCACCTGCCCCTTTACCCCTGCCTCCTTTCTCATTATCTGCCCCAACTCAATCCCTTTGTGCCTCTGGAGTCTCCTGGTCCACTCCTGGAATAATCTTCTCATTGTTATCATAATATGTGCCTCTTGAATGTTATGTTTGTATCTCTCCTATGTTATTCTTGTAAAGTATAGGGCCGGGGTCTTCGGCTGTGCTGGGTAGTAACCGTGTGGTTCAGGTGTGGGTTTACATGCCTCATTACACAAAATGAAAAGCCTGGAGTTTGAGAGGAGGGGGGGAGGGGTCAGGGGTTCAGGTGGAGCTATTATGCATCCTGTATAATTTTGACAATGAATAATGTTGTGGAACAAAGGACTAAGATAAATTTTTGTGTGCTGCTGCTGTCACATCTGAAATAGTTGTCTGAACGCTGCAGCTGACATTTATTGCAACACTACATTCTATATGATGGCTGTATTGCATCCATAACCATAAGTGTCTTTGCAATATTGCTGAATGAAGTATTATTGGACTTTAAGGCTTTATTTGATTGTTTATAATCGTAATGGAACTTTGTAAAAATGTAACTGCTCTGCATGTGTCTTCATTACAGCTCCTGTGTTTTACTCAATGCCTTACTTTTGTAACTGTGATGCTATGGGGAGACTAAAAATGGGATTATCCTGGATTATCTTTTAGGATGTATGGATTACCTCTGTACTAAATGTAATCTTCTGTGTATTGTATATTTTTGTTGTTATGTAAAAGGCAATGGATGATCTTCAAATAAATATTAAGTAATTTTGCGACCAGTGTGTCTGTACAGCCCTTCTACTGAATTGGACATTTTAGATTGATATGATTTATAATAAAGTATGATGACTGATGCAGAAAACATCATAGGATTTTCTCTTTTCTCATTTATAGGCCCACATTTAAATATATCCATCCATATATGCTCAACTGCTCATTTTCATTCATTTTCACTCCATAGACATATCTACTTCAGACATTTATCCCCCAACCATCCAATTTCTAATCTGCACTTCCACCCGTCTGCATGATCCCCGCACACAGCAAGCCACAGTAGCCAGCTGTTGGATTATTGCCACGGTTCTATCTCATCGGGGAAGGCGTGTCACTCCCCGAATTACCCAGCGCCCCTTTGTCCTCGATCGGTGCCCAGCCAGCGACACTCATGGCGGCTGCACCCGTCAGGCAGCGCTCCGGGCCAGGGGGACCCCGGGCGCAGCTCCCGCCCTGCTACTACGAAGGATACCTGGAAAAGCGAGGACCGAAGGAGAAGGTAGGGTCGCCTGGCGCAGTGCCATGTTGTTTCCTGTGCATGCTGAGGATAGCGGTGGTCAGTATGACACCGGCTGATCCCCCATTCCCAGAGAGCTGTCAACTTCCTCCTGGTGTAGAATGGGCGAGGCGAGACTGCACTGCTGGTGGGGATTCTTGACATGGCGTTTGTTGTGCTGCTAAATATGATTTAGCAACAATCTGACATGCAGCGAATTATGATCGAATCTAGACTCATGAATCGTGTAAACATAACTGCTGTCAAAACATTGCATTTCATTGAAATCGTTTGAACGATTAGCGGCTTTATCTTAATTACCCATCTGTTTCTCTGGGTATGTCTGCCTATAATTTCACCTACAATGTAATGCTGACTTATTTGACCATATTCTGACAGCCTGATCCATTAGGTTCATTTTTACTATCTCAAATAGAAAGTTGTACACAGTAAAATTGTTTCTCTTGTGTATGTTGTTATAGATATATAAAGTGATACATACAGAATAGGATACCCTCCCCGCAGGCTCTTCCCTCTCATTAGGCTCATTTTAATGCAATATAGACATGTAATGTGAGCCTGGCTCAGGTGCAGGGTATTGCTCTGATCCATAGCCACAGATTGACAGCAGCTGTGACTCACTTCCTATTCATCTCTTGGGACAGGAAATGGGGGGTGATAAAAAGGGAAATATCCATTACACACAAAAACAGCTTTTCACATCTCTGCTTGTGTCTTTGTGTGACAGGCCTCCAGGCGGCTGTGGACCTGTCTGTGCGGGAATTCTTTGTATTTCTTCAATAACGCCAAGGACAGCCATGTAAGTTTCAGACTGTGGACACTGTGTTGTTTGTGCATCATAGTGTGTTGAAACTGATGCATGCTTCTATGTGTGTTACAGTTTGTGGAGAAGCTGGACCTCAGTGGGTTTGTGTCCCTGAAGGACGACTGCAGCCGGGACAGAAACCTGGAGGCAGCCAGACTCATCCTGCGCATGAAGGACGGAGAGACCAAAATCACAGTAATACTATTTAACACACACACTGACATTAAAATACGTTTTACAAGGTGTAACAATGCTATTGTCTCTTTCAGGCCCCTAACTTGGAATCAAGGGAGCTGTGGAAAGGTTTCCTCTACTCCGTTGTAGATGTAATTATTCATCTTTTGTGCACCTGCATCAATTTATCTCTCTCTTGTGCCATCTATAAAATATTCTCTCCTCTTTCCGATCACAGCTGAATGTACCATCCTATCTTACGTTGCTGCCTGGCCAGCTGCAGATGCTGAAGGAGGTTGTGGACAAAGAAAGATCCAGGAGGAGAACCCGCACCCCCACACGCGCTCCTCCCTCACGCGCTCCTCCCTCACCCCTCTCCGTGCCTTTAGTAGGGGAGATCCCACCGTGAGTTCTCCTTGAGAGGATAGTAGCTTTAATGTGTGACTATATGCCCATTTTTAATGTGTGTTTGTGGCATGCAGGTGTTTCCGACCGGTGTCTCGAACAGAGGCTGAAGTCCTTTTAGAGAGACACCCAGACTGTGGCAACATGCTGCTCCGTCCAGGAAGAGACGGGTGCTCATTGGCTGTCACGACTCGCCAGGACCTCAATGGGTAAACCCCTGCTGAACATCTGAGCACCATGGCTTTAAATATCAGAGTTATGTACTGCAAATGTTACAAGATTTGTGTTTCTCTCTTTTGCTCCAGGTCAGTGTTCAGACATTACCGTGTGACTCAGAGGGACCAAGGTGGTTACATCATTGATGTAGAAAATCCTGTGAGTGTATTAAACACATACACTTCAAATCTTACCTTTCTTAAAATGTAATTATGTTGTCCTAATCATTTTTTTATTTACTTACCTTATTATTCAGTTTTTAATGTTTTGTTGTATTTTTATTGGGTTTTTTTACGGACTTCAGTCCAACGCTTGACTTATGTAATGTGAATCACTCCATGAACACATTCTTTTTATAATAACACTATTAAATAATCATTATTTAATGTGGATCAGTTATATCATGGCTAATACCTAGTTGTATTGGTACAAATACAAAAACGACATATTGGATCCGTGACCACTGTCCATTTTTCAAAAGTAAATATAGCTACTATCCTGAATTTTCTCTCTAGATTTTTACGAGGATTGTTTGGGAAATGGCAACAGCCAGGAGTTAATATAGAACATGCTTTGAGATGATAGCAATCAGCAATGTTTCAGACTCAATAAAAACAGCGTTGACATATACCAGCAGCTTTAGGTGTATAATAAAATGGATTCCCTTTTCCAGATTCCCTGTGCTACCCTGCACGAGGTCATCGACGCTCTGGTAGAGAAGACGGCAGGAACTCTGCAGCCTTTCCTCCTGGAGGAGCCTTACGAAGAAAATATCAGTAAGGAAAACATGCAGCACAAAGATATTCTCAAGATTCATTTGTTGTCTTCATTAGCACTTTATTACGAGTACTTAAAGAGGCTGACCACCTTTTATTCTGTTTGTGTCATCAGCATATGTTTCTGCCAATGATGAGAATGGAGAAAGGATCCTCCACACTGCCCCCTCCAGCCCCCTGCCAAAGGCTCCTGCCCTGCCTCCAAAACAAGGTTTGTCTCAGTCACAAAAAACAACATGCAGACACTCGCAGACAGACAGAAGTATTCATCATTGCTTTTCTTCTGGAGCAGATCGCTGGCCCAGCAGCCCCCTGAACAGGTCACCCGCCCCAGACCGCCGTATCCTGACCTCATCAGTGCCGGCCTCGCCCACCAACCCAATGAGAAGACTCATCCTCTCCCCTTCACCTCTCGCACAGAGTGAGTAGACAACGAAGAGCCAACCTGCTGCAGTCCATCCTGATTTACAGTTAAAAACAAAAGAATATCACATTCAATATCTGAGGAGCAATACAGTTAATCATACAATTACATCTAGTTATCTAAGAGCTAGAGCTGAATTCATTGGGCAGAAAGGTAATTGCCAGGTATTTAAATAATTGATTAAAGTATGGATGGAAGAAATGGCAGACAGTGGTGTTTTCCAGCACTCAAATATGGAAATGTATGGGCATTTATGTTCGTTGCAGACCTGCTAAAAACAAATAGATATACTGTACAAAAAGTACCTAAACCTGCCATATCTTCTGTCTTTTCCACAGCTTTCAATGAGGAACTCAAAATGAAGCTGGAGAAGAGACGAGCCAGTCAGGAGTGATTGACTCATCATGAGGAACAACCTTCTGTCACCGCATACTCAATCTTCAGTGCCAAAACCCTTCTTACCGCAGCTATGTATTTATCCTGTGCCTTCTAGGTGGAAGACAAGGGACTATAAATATTGCCACTAAGGGAGATACAAAACGTTGGACTGATTACATGGACTTTAGTTGGCTTGTTAAGAGCAAGATTGCCTAGAAAACACTGGATTAGGTTCATAAAATGCCTTGGTTGGGGTAACAATCCACTGGTGCTTTGTCCACTTGCAAAAAGCTGTTTACAAACTGCATCTGAGCAAAAATAATAGTGCCACAACAAATGATTCCCCCTCAGAATACAGCCCACACTGACTCAATATGACTGGCAGCTAAAAAAAAAAGAGAAGCACTGACACAAACCGGACCACCTACTGAGCCTGATGTTTTCTCGTCTGAGCCCCTGTCTGAGCTGCTGATGTGACTGCTGCACCACTGGAGACTAAGAACACAAACAAACCTAAGACTGCCGAGATCAACACCGGAACAACAAACTCTGACCTGAGACTCTTTATCTGCTTTGAAAGTAAAATAAGCCAGGCATGATCAGGTTTCAGTTCAGAAATTCTGTTCCCTCACCTCGTCATATCAAACATGCCTGAAAAAATATATTGTCTGAATACAGAAAACAGCTGGCCAGAAAACTGCACAATCTCTGCCTGCTGCTCATGAGTGCTATTTGTGATATATAAGCAACCATTAATTTATTGTTGATTCAGTGACACTGTTGTGGCTCATCAATGACTCAACTTTAACCATACTGTTAGTGCTTATTTTAAAGTGTTTCCTTATTCTCTGCCAATGTGTTTGTGCTACTGTATGGTGCTATGAATGGACATAGACATTCCAGATAATTTCAATACTTTCTCAAGAAAATCTATCTACTGTACTAATATGAGGTTGCCCTCTAGTGGAATATCTTTTAACTCAATCAGCAGAAACAAAAAAAGCACAGTGTTTGGATATGAAGTAAAAAAAATGATGTTACAGTCTAAACCCAGCAGGCTTTTGGCTTTATCACAATATTTTTGCCATGCCCTACCTCTCTACCTTTAATAATGCAATTAGAATTTATTACAGGTCTGAAGGAGCTTAAACAATAACAACATGTATTTCTACATTGACATTGTTATGTAAGTATATTTGAAGTCCGTGAATATTTGTGGCAAACTTTGATCAATAAGTGTCCTCTTAAAATGAACAGTTTCTTGTATGTTTGTACATGAAGTGTTGTGTGTACTTGATCACTATCAAAGAATAGTGTTTGTTAGATATCAAGTGCATTAAATGTTTTTTGCATGGATGAGATGTGTCCTTTTTGTGAATCGATAGCTTATGCTTTATCAACAGTGCACCACTTTTTGGTTTACTGAAGAATGTCAGAGGTTGATCCAGTCATTGATTGAAAACCAAGAGTGCCAACAGGAGAATAAGGAAATTGGATAATGTTAGAATAAGTCAAAGCTATCAGTCCATCACAGAAATATAGAAGACCAGAAAAAATGTGTAGGAACATTCGCAACGTTTTTTTTTAAAGATTGACACGGAGATTCTGTTTTATCAACCACATATAACTTCTAAATCTATGTTGCCTACTCCAATTAATATTTCATAAATAAGTAGGCCTATTATTATGTAAAATTAAAAGTAGTATAAGACTATAGGCCTATATGTTTATGTCACCGCACACGCAACATTATTATAAAGGATATGGTTATATTCGTTATAAAAGAAAAATAATAATTAATTTATCCATTCTATCCGATGATAGGAGGACCCCCTGCAGGACATACAGTCCCACACGGAAATGTTACTCCATCACTCCTGTTTGGACATGTTCAAGTAAAAACAAAAACAACCTCGCCCATCTTGAATCAGTTATGTGTCCTGCATCAGTATAGTAAGTATATTCGGAACAATGCAACTTAATCAGATCTGAGATCCGCGCCTAACGCCCCCTCAACGACAGTTAGGAGGAGGGGAGTGAAAAGAAACAACCTGTGGCCAACCGGGGCAGCAGCAGCCATTCAACACTCCTCACCGCGGGATGTGAGTGTCTCTACAATAACGGATGACTGCTGTGACTTTGAGAGGACCTAACTGAGAAAGAGTTACTTAGAGAGTCGCTTTTTTCTGCTGCAGTGTGAAGTTTGAAGAGAAAAGGTGAACCTGCAGTCGGTGCAGACGTTTTAAAGGAAGTTGCAAGCTACCGCGAATCAGTGTTTTACATCTCAGCGTACGTTAGGCAGCAGCAGCAACGTGTGGGGGGCATAAATACACTTCTCCGTTTATACAAAGTACCAGATACTTTGAATGTTAATCAATTAAGAGTTAAAGGATTAGAAATAACGTTTGAACAGGTGTTGGGACAATTTAAATGCGAGCCTCGGCATTTTTGGGCGTGTCAGTGAGCAGGTAAGTGATTAACTTTGAAATGTTGACGGTTAACCTGCTTCAGATTGCGCTGCAATTTGCTTGCGTTGGTGCCAGTTTCCTTAAAACTGTATTACATGTTGTAAAAGTGACATTAAATAATACATTATCTTCAAAAAATATCGAAGCAACTCACTGGCTTCGTGTGTGTGTGTGTGTGTGTGTGTGTGTGTGTGTGTGTGTGTGTGTGTGNGCTCAAACTTCACATTTGTGCCAACAGTCCGGCCGTGAAGACATCTACAGGAGCATTGTGTTGCCATGGCAACGGCATTTGAAGAAATCTCAAAACTGTCCTGTAGATGTCTTCACGGCCGGACTGTTGGCACAAATGTGAAGTTTGAGCACTTTTTAAACGTTTTCATAGTTGTTATAGCGACATCACGTTTTATGGTGAGGGATGCGTTTCCATGGAAATGGCATATGGTGAGATCTCAGATTTGGCGTAGAGCTGTTGAGGCATGGACCGGTGATATACAAGTGAAGATTGGGGGACGATTGGACCGTGTCGACTGGACTTACAGCCACATCGTGTTTCATGGCGAGTGGTCTGTCGCCATGGCAACGGCATTTGATGACACCCCATACTACGCTTAGATGCGTTGATGGCTGCATCGTTACCAAACCTGTGAAGTTCAGGGCTGTTTGGAGTATTTTCACTGAAGTTATGAGAAAACCGTGTTTTATTACATTACTCTATCTCTCTTCGTCATATGATGATGACACCCCATAATTGCCGTAGAGCTGTTGAGGGCAGGACCGTTAACCTCTATCTGAAGTCTGCTGCTCTGAGCATGTCAGTTGGAGTTATGACATCATCGTGTTCCATTACACAGGTGTTTATATTTGAGCTAACGAGGTGTCCAGAGATCAAAGGTTTCCATTGTTCTGAATGAGAGATAAACCTCTTACATGTGAACGTTTTGTGGAAGAACCGTAACAGATATCGGTGAAATTTCAAAGCGTGAAGCATCTCAAGAACCTTGAGTATCTGAAGTGTGCTTATTGTGTACTTTCGGGTCAACAATGGGGCCTTTTTTGCAGATTAACTAAAGGTGTGCGGCTGCTGCTGTGAGGAAATATCAGCCTGAAATTACAATGGGCTTTAATGGAGACATGTTGAATTGTCACTTCATGCCCTCAAGAGGCATTTTGTTTAATTATTTTTGCTTAATTATTTGTAATTTTTCAAGCTACGAGATGTTTTCCTACGTTTGTCATGAGAAATTATGTCTCAGGAATGTAGGGTTTGGGAATTATGGCAGTTTTAAAAAAAAATATGAAGGCAAATTTCAAGATTTTCTACCCTCTAGCTGTGACATCACACACTCTAGTTAATGTTAAAATCTGAAGAAAACCTCTGAAACAAGGTCTGAACAATTTTTATTATCTCTAAAAGTAAGAATCAGATTTAAAAGTTGTTTAACACGATTAATGTCAGAAAGATGTGTAACATTTTAAAGTTAGAATGAGGTGAGTGAAAGTATTAATGAACAGTTAGCAGTTGAAGTCGCATGAAGATTTGTTGAATTTGTTATGAATGAGAAAAGTAATAGCCATCGATTCCCGACCGAGCTGAACGTTTTGATGTTTGAACGGAGTTTCTGCGATGTTCAATGCGGGAGGAGAAGAGGCCCAAAATAAGTAGGCGGAATAATAACAATAAACTTTTCGTGCGTAGAATAACAGTTAGTTGGAATGCTGTTAACAGCATTCCCACTAAATAATCATTGGCACTATACTAAACAGATTAATGGTCAAACCCTGAACGAACATACACCATAACATACATATTGTTTCCACCCTATATCTCATCCTCTAACTGCCTCTGTTCTTACCAAAGTTGGTGTCTTCGCCCATATCCCGTCCATACTTAGTCATGCACTCCCCCAGGAGGCCCTCAGGCTGGGGGTATCCCGGACTCTTGACCTGCCCGCGCATTTTGGACACCGTGTTGAGCATGGTAAGCTTAGCTCTTGTTGCGGGGTTGGGCTGGAGGTACTCTGTTGTTTTATTGATGACTTCAATCACTGCTTTGCTGGTAACATCGGATTTCTGGTGGTACAGCATAGAGACAGACAATAATCTATATGCCCAGATGTATGCCCTTGTGAATCTGCGACACATCTTTCAGTAAAACAAAAGAAAATATAGTTATTCTACATGTTTCTTAAGAATATATTTTTAAATGTATGTAAGTTACCCTCTCGAGGTCCCTGAAGTCTTCATCCAGTTTGGTTCCCTCTGCACCTCCAACCTTCTCACTCACCAGCTGTGAAAACAGAGATTCAAAAGACATGAAGTTAACTGAAGGATAAATACTTTCCTTATTGTCTACGGTAAAAATATTGTTTCATATTTTTTAATACACATTACAATATTGTTAACATATTACCATCTTTCACTGCATTTCCTATTGGAACGCCAATTACAGAACATAACATCATTGAGCGGATGAAGGATAAGAACAGATATCTAAATATGTTCTGTCATTTACTGATTTGTTTCAACAATGATGATAAAGTATGAGGGCCATAGTATATTTTGACAGATATGAACACTAAGGGCCCCTAAGGGTCACAGAGAGGTGTCAAGGTTTTAGGGGATATTGAATAGATCCTTATTTTCCAGGCCTGGTTAACACAGTTCTCAAATTCCAAGCCATTCCCATGTTTTCCTTTAACGGAGGAACCTCAACTCCTCTCTACTGCGAGTCTGCGTTCCATAATGAATTCTGCTAAGGGTTTTCACTTTTTGCCCAATCAGGTAAGCACACACATTGCAGTTTCCTACACTACAACCACATCCATATATGCTTTTACTAAACACACACTATACATTTATCTTCCTCTCAATTAATATCCTGATTCACACAAGGCACTCTATTTCTCCCTCAGAGCAACAAACCTTAAAATCCAGTGCAGTTGGCTGGCAGGCCAAACAGAGACTCATTGTGTGTTTTCGCATTTGGTTCAACTTTGTGCAGCTGTCGGCACCATACTGCACACAAGACTCTATGACCAGATGGATCAATCTATCTCTTCAGTTTATACAATGCACAGGCTTGGTAAAGTTATTTTGTAGGAAACAGTCAGTGGTTCTTAAAAAGCCCAAAGCACTGATTCCCAATTGATTCATGGGCGATAATTCAGCCCAACATGTTCCCAAATTATGAAGTCTAATAAACAGCATTTTAATTGCAATGAATGAATCTCTTGGTACCAGATGTTAATTTGTGCCATGTAGAAACACAATTTCAGCAACCCATCTGGCTTTATAATTGCCAGCACAGGATTTTGTCCTCCATGACTAATAAACCTGCCGATCCTATGCAATTTAATCTATCTTGAAAAACTTGTGTTTCGATAATAGTTTTAGGAGAGGGGTTAAAAAAACGAAACCCATTTAATAAAAAGCATTTGCGTTTAGTCTCGTCTCTTGTTGACAAAAGCAAAACACAAGAAAATGACAAAAGAAACTAACATCTCTATTCGACTTTTTAAAGTATTTGTATTTGAATGTCTGAACACACTGCTGCTTCTGTAACGAAATCATTTCCCAAATTGGGATCAATAAAGTATCTATCTATCCATCTATCCATCCATCCATCTATCTATAACATGATGCAGAACATTATGAAACAGCAGGTGCAAGCACCATGTGTACAATGTCAGCTTTATATGTTTGGTTGGCAATTTAGCTGAAGATTATTTTAAATTATTGATAAAATCCAGTTTTTTTTATGGTGGTATGACTTGGAGTAACCAAGGCAACTAACTTACAGAATGGATTATACTCCACCACCCTGTTATAAGACCCTGTTTATTTGAATGACATCTGTCTAGTTAGCCTACTGACTAAAGTTGGTTTCTACTGGAAGCTGGTTTAGGCAGAGTATTCAGATAACTAAGATTCCATTACACACCCATTGAGAAAGGAGGTGTCACCAACCAGTCACATAATGCCAAAGCAAGGACCTGTTGCAAGGCAAGTGTCATCAAAACATAGGCCACCAGTTTGCAGGCTATGTGTTATTGAGCTTCATGTTTGTAGGGGCTTGTTTATAGTTTAACTGTCTTGAGAGCCAACAGTTATCTTTTTTGAACAGGTAGAATGAGTTCAACTTCCATATTGAACATACAAGGAAACCCAGATCAATTACTACAAGATTATCAGACTACTGTGAACGTCTGTACACATCATGGAGGCAATCAGACGTTTGGCAAGTCACTCCCATTTGAATTGCTTCTCTTAGTTTAATTGGGCTGATGTCAGTGTTGACTTTTGCTTTCAGTTTTTCATGTGTGAGCACATGGAAACTGTAAGGTTCATATTGCAAATGAGAAAAAAGTATGGCATTTAGATGATAGCAAATAATCCCTGTGTCTGCATGACTTTATGGATCTGTTTTATGCTAGAGATAAATAATTGACTATGTTATGCCTTTTCTTTGATAAATCCGGATAAAAGAAATGTAAAGATAAATATACATGAAAAAAAATCTCAATATAAAGGCTTATGTCATAAGATTAAACATGGCTCAAAGGTCAGCTCAGTTCTATTGTTGGAAACATAGGGGACACTTAAAACTGAGTGATGACAGAAACACGTGTTGTGAGATTTGAGCCGTAATATCACCACAACAAATTGAGTAATTTGTCATGTGTTTTGAAAACATGATGTAATCCAAGAGATAGCAAACATGAACATTACTTTGAGGTATTACAACTTAAGTGACAAATCTACTTGCTGCTAAACCAACCCAAACTAAATAAAAACACGATGAATCCACCAACAATCATAAAAAGTATCTTCCTCAGACCAGAGACTCATCCTTTCAATGCCTGATTTATGAGTCAGTCATAGCGTTAGCCTGTAGGCATACATAAACGTTGGATACGGGAGAAATACTAAAAGTTGGACTAAATGTGGCTTGAAACTCGTTTATTGACTATTAAAGTTGACTAAGTTTACCATGTTTAACGTTATGCAACGCTCTACAAAAGTATTGCTTCATTATCGTTACAATACGTTAGGGAAGAAAAATGACAAACTAAGCAAACTACAACAATGCATTTTTAACGTTAGTATCAGTCAGTGTTAAGTTAACTAGCTAACTTTACGTTACAAACATCAAAGTCTTATCGCTCTAACGTTACATTAACATACGTTAAGAGTTAACGTTGACGTAACCTGTGAGCAAAAACACATTTGACAGTTGTTGAAAAGTTTAATAACAATATAACTAGAAGTATACGAGTCCACGAGTTAAACCGTTTTATAAAGGTTACGTGTATAAATCCAAAAGCAAATAAATCATATTTTACCAAGTAGGCCTGCCAATTACATACAAGTAACAGTTAGCTATCGTTAGCTTAGCCACCAATGTTTGTTTTTTTCAAAAAAAAATCGCCCTTTTACCTGGCTCGCTTTGTAAAATTGCTTCTTAAATCCCGCGACAGACATCTTGCACCGTCAGTGTTGTCACCTGGACCTAGACGGGGAAATAATATTTTCTGTGAGTTTGTACTTTACAGGATCCAGAAAGCAGCCGAGCTACACGTCTTCAAACTTTGCACCGTGGATGTGAAACTTGCTAGGCAACCACAATTTCCTGGCCAAGCTTCATGTGGGAGGATCCATCCTGGTGGACAAAATGGGTCAACACACACTTATACACACAAGGGGCATTCTACCGAATTAGTACAAAGTGCGGTCCCACAACAAGAAAAACTATTTAACAAAACAATTAAGTATTCAGATATAGATATTTACTAAGAATATGTTATGGTCTATTTAAACACAAGGCATTACATTAGATAGTGATAAACTTAATATATACAAAAACATCATTTATAGGGTACTTTCTATTGGGAAGTAGCTGTCCCCAACCCTGACATCTAAATTTCAATTTCTGTAAATGACACTTAAAACATTTTTAAAAATGTTGTTCAATGGTGTATTTAGAAGATCTTTATGATTACATTCAAACAGAAGTTGGAATATTTATATTTATTGTGGGTAATATTTTTTAATAAAAAAACTACACTCAAAAAATCCCCAGTTTTCATGTCACTACTGAAACACAAGGGGTTAAGTCCAATGGCTGAGCCTGGTTTTTAGCAACACCCCTGCATTTTTTACAAGACAGTGACACTGCATCCCTGTCTCTCATGGCTGAATGGGAAGTAGCTATATCACATACTTTTGATATAAATCTGTTCCAAAATCAGAAAATCGACGTGTAACCTCAAGAATTGTCACTACCGAACACATATTATCTTCAATTAAGTAAACTTTTTCGGGGTTTTATGCAGAGTATTAGGTTTTTATGTGTGTAAACCTCTTCAAAGACGTGTATGCTAGCATTGCACTTGCTAGCATTCTTTAGTTATGCTCAATTTTAGCTAGAATCGTCACAACCGAAACAGTCACTACGAAACATATGGTCGTTTCGGTGGTGACAAAATCGAATAGTAAGCAGGTAAATCCCATAGTTTTGAAATAAATGTGTTTTAAAGTTTGAAAATCAGTGTGTTACTTTAAAGGTCTCTTATTATACTATTGCTCGGTATATATTATAGGTCTCAGATATATAAAAAAACATGTCTGAAGTGTTTTGCTCAAAATACCAAACAGATCACCAATTCTAGCCTCATTCCCCCATTTCAGTCTGTTACTAAAGTGCTGATTCTGGGTCAGCTTCAAACATTCACACTTCAACATAAGGCATTTTATGAGTTAAGATTAAGCAATAAGGTTGAGGGAATATGATACAACATTGAGAACAAAATACTGTGGTCACTACTCACTACCGAAACACTGGATGTTTTGTAAAAAATTAGTATATTGACTTATCAACTCAAATGATATGATACCGATTGGTTTAATGTATGTTCAATTTCAACAATCATCAACTCTGGAATCAATATGATCAGTA